AGGTGACAGCAGAAACAATTCAACATTCCTATCGTCGTGCAGGACTTATTACCGAAACAGAATACGAACAGGGCTTGGAAGATCATCAGCCAGTAAGTGAGTGGATAAAGCAGTTACAAACAACAATTACGTTTACAAGTGAGGAGTTGAAGGATTTTATGGTGATAGATCAAGATTTGTCTACAGCAGCAGACTTGACAGAGGAAGCCATATTACAACAAGCAGGAAAGGGTGAGGAAGTGCACCAAGAGGAAGAAGAAGATGAAGAAGTTGATCTGGGATCACCACCAACCATTCAATAAGCCCTATATTCAGTTAAGCTGCTAGAGAAATTTTTTATGTGAACAAATAGTGAGAATACAAGGCGAAGTACGGGATGGGTATTGGCATACTAAAAAAATTAAAAAAAAAGACCGATTATTTGAAACATTAAATGTAGTTCTTAAATATTTATGTAATATGTTCCTAAGTAGATGTTAAAATATGTATATAAAATAATTAAATATTACGGAACACATATGCGTATTGTATATAACTTTTTATAACGAAAAGAAAGCAGTCCGTTCATCTTCGCTATATAGAGTTTCGACTGTATATAAATTTACGGGAACTCCTCGATCAGTGAGGCACTCAAAAATAGCACTTTGAGTGAGTTGCATTATTTTTCCGGTGTAGCTCACTGTGACGCTTATTATTATTTTTGCCAACGCGTTTGTAATTAAAACATCTAACGGCAGACAAAGCACGAAATAGTGAAAAACACTAAGTTAAATAAATTTGATTAAACCATTGATACCATATCCAAAATAGACCGAATAATTTGAATTTGGCCGCAGAATGACTTTTAGAACACGCAATATTATGGAAATGGTCGAGGTGTATGATTCACGTTGAATGAAGTCATTAAGTTTCTCCAACTAAAAAATTTTAGAAAATTTGGTTCACGAATTTGGGTTTTTCCACATTTAACTAAAACGATTGAAAACAATTTCAATGGAGCACCCAGTAAAAATGCAGCTTTCCTAAAAAGAAGCGTATTTAGTTAGAGGAGTCCAAGTAGTTAATCATGAAAATAGAAGCATATTACACTTGGTTGGTATACAATTTTAATTCTCCCTCAAATTTAATAAAATTAACTCTTCACAAGATCAAATGGTTCGTGCATTTTGTCCTTTTATAATTTAATTTTGAAATTTTGACATCTCTGTCATCTAAACGAAACATAGAGAATTGACTTTTTATTGGATTTGGAGACAAAGCGACAACTCAGGAAGAAGAGGAAGAAAATTGAGAGAACATTTACAGAAACAGGGCTTGTAAAAGTTAAAAGGTATTTCAAAAACTAATTTTATTAGAAGTTGAGGGTAATCTCTATCTGAAGAAGCTGCAAAAAATGATTGTGCGGAATCATTTTAAAGTTACAATAGTTTTAGATACGTTAATGCAGCATTAATCTTAAAGCAATTTTAATTTTTTTAAAATTATTTAAAAAAAAGGCAAATTAAACTCAAATACAGGATTGTAGTGGCTACCCAATTAGTCTCAAAGAGGATCTTTCCCACAATTTTGAACTGCATATCCTAAAATTGAAATTAGAGTCGAATCTAGTATCAAAATTATTCATGAATTTAAAAACTCTTTAAGCTTTTTTAGCGAACGTCAATATAATAACCATAATATGTAGCTAATAACTAATTTGTATGCACTTACTTTTTTGGAAACATTAAAGAAGGTGACAAATAATTGATTGTCATTTGTATTTCTTAATTTTAATTTCAAAATTAGTGCATAAAAACTTTTTTAAAACGCTTCGAATCGACTTCGACTTCGACTAGACTTCGAATCATTTCGCTTTATGCTTTACGTGTCTAATAGCTAGTGGGTCTAAAATAGCTTTGGAATGCCGGTTGTTCTATTAAAAAAAAAACTAATAAAAATTGCTAAAATGTGTTGTTATGTTCAAATCATTATCTTATTCGAAAATAATAATAATAATCTTACATTACTAGAATGTAAAAACTGTAATGGAAATGTGCATCTAAAGTCCATTTTTTCTTCGTCAGATAAATATAAAAAAGTTGTAGCACGAAAATAATCCCCAATGAATGAAAGAAAATCATACACGATATCTAAAAAATAAAATAAATAAATGGACACAGATTTTGAATAACAAAATTGTTGGATCTTATTTTGTCGATCAAAATCCTACTTATATTCAATTTCTTCAAAATGATTTGATTCATTCTCAAATTCAAATCGGCCAGATTTGCCAGATTTGGTTTGGTACTATTTGGCTCGACAAATGCGTGAATATTTAAATACGGCCTTTCCCGAACGTTGGATTGGTTGAATGGGATCCAATGGCCTGCAAGATCTCCAGATATTAATTCACTCGATTTTTTCCTTAAATATTTAGAATTAGTAGTGTATAAAGGAAAAATAGCAAAGTTTAGATGATTAAAATTTAGAATTAGATGCAAAAAAACGCAAATTAACGAGACTATTGTGAAAAACACCTAATTAATTTTTTGTATGGCTTGTTTCTCTAAATTTTCTCTTAATGTAGCTCACTGTGGATCGTGTAATGGATATTTTACAGCAAACAAACTTTTTCTTGAGTGCACATCCAATAAAAATTAAAATTCTCTGGGTTTCTTTAGTTGCGCCATATTCACTTGTGACAAGAACTTTTAAAAAATTCACTTACGTGTATCCAGCGTCATCCTAGCGTAAATAAATTCTTATGTTGGGAGTTCATTTATATATTTTTATGTGGTTATCACATTAAGTAAAAAGGACTTAAAAAGTCCTTTTTACTTAATGTGATTTGTAATAAGTGTAAGCTTTTTTTTTTAATTTCTATGGTAAATAATAAGCATTATTATTATTACAAAGTTGTTTAAGGATGTGAAATAAATTTCTTTCTTAAAGCTGTAAATATAATTGAATTATATAATAATGGGTTCAAATCGTGTAGTGCAAATGTATGAAAGAGTCAAAAAAATGCATTTTAATTAATACCTAATACAGGTTTAGGAAATGCTTAATACAATTGAAAGAGCGTCGTAGGAGTAAATAATGGAAGTTTAATATGCGAAAATTAATATTTTTCATTTTGACCCCCAATGGCATTTACACATAAATCAATAAATAAATGCAGATGTTATTAAAAATACGAAAACGATCAGTATAGACCATAACAACCCTACATAATATACTGGGTGTTCCCTTTAAATTTGATTTCTCGCATATTTATGAATCGCCGAGGATATTTCAAACTAATTGTAAATAGTTTCTTTTAGTCTCATCTATAGCTTTTGTATTCAACAATTTTCTCTAAAAGAAATATAGAGTACAAGGGAAAAAAAGATGAGGGTCCATTTTAAGACTAACAGTTATTTCGTATAAAATATCGGCTATAGAATACTATCCAACTATAAGAAATGGCTAGAAAGATGACAGTACAAACTTAAACAGAATTTAAAATGTTTAGTAGTGGGCAAAAAAGATGAAGATAACCGAGGTTGTGCTCAAGAAAGGTGGCAGTCCATAGGAAACGGCAACGTCGGGCTTATGGTCGTAAACAGCCGAAATTTTTATTGACGTTGAAGTTAATTGGCGTAATTATTGATTATTCTATTTTGTGTTGTATTCCTTGTTGTTGAATAATGGCTGAGCAACAAAAAGCAAGGAAAAGAAAATCCTATGGACGAATGCAGGATGTAACTAAAACGTTACGCTTAAGTAGTCGTCAAACTGGACAACATAAATGTTGAAATATGATTTAAGCACGTGTCTAAGTCTAATCTACTACAAAGTTATGATGAACAATCCCTTTATCTGAGTGGTTTAATAAATAATAAAGGAAATCTGAAGATAACGCTGATGCGATACCTGTAGTACATGCGATGAGTCGAAAGCAAAAATTGAGGACATTGAAAAAAAAAATCAAAGTGCAGATGATCACAATGCACTGCAGTTACAGGCAGAACTGCGAAGCTTACAAGTTGAAAAAGAAGTACATTTAAAAAGAGCAGATATCCTTTAAAAACGTAAAAAAGCTGCTAGATTTAAGGCTCAAAAAGACAAAACTATTGTAATGGATTTTCAAAAAAAATTTCATCTGCCTAATATTACAACTAATGACACGGATTATGATAGACAACTTTCCTTCTACATGCTCAACATACATGTCCTTTTGATCTTTGAAGCTCTTTTCTATACTTATACTGAAGTTTCAGGAAAAAGGGTGTTGAAGATGTTTTTTCAGTGCCATGGGATTACATTTTTAACCATCTGCATTTTGATGTCAAAAAGCTTACAATATTTTGCGATTCATGCTGTGGCCAAAATAAAAACTTGGAGGTGTTTAGAATGTTACATTATATTGTTCAGTTTGTTAAAAGATAACACAATCAAAGTGGTTTTTCCTGTTTGTAGACATTCGTATCTAGAATGCGATAGAATTATGGTCTTAGTGAAACAGGAGACCTATGTTGAACAGCTTCAAGAATGGAATGCAGTTTTAAGGGATCCCCGAACAAAACCAAGCCCTTTTAAAGTTATTTCTTGTGAAGATCGGTCCATTCTTAAGACAAAATTTCTAGGGGATATATATATGCCCAAATGTCCTTTTCCTTCAAGACCGGTCAAAAAATTAACTGTTGAAAATTTTGTCATAAAACAAAAAAGGAAAACTTTCGGTACCTGAAAAGTGTTTTTTGTTAAGTTAGTTTAAGCTAGCAATAATTATATTCCAAAATCCTATTTTTGTTTACCATGCTCTAGAGTAGTCTTCCTAAATAAAAATAACAATTATTCAGAATTAAGTTTTTTGGACCCTCATCTTTTCTCCCTGTACTCTTCAAATAATAAACGAGATAAATTATTTTGACACGCTCTGTATGAAAAATTATGAATTTTATTGTTGATAAAAGAAATGGAACATTATTAGAAAAGAATAATTATGATATTTAATTGAGATTTTTTTCTGAAAGTTCTCACGTTAGAAATACGTGACTCGAAACCAGCGTGAAGTCATTCAGCTGTACTCTGACGACACACAGCCGCGAATCATACCCGATTACGACTGCGAGTTAACAAATCACCCTTAATATGATGAACGGTCTTGTCTATCGGTGATCGGTGGTATCGGAAATCGCCAAAAGAACGACTCAAGGAACATCGATTCTGAAAATCCCGCACATTCAACCATCGGCGGGTCAAAAAACACTTTGCTCTCCGCCACTGGCCGCGTCCGGATGGTGCAAAGTGTTCGCGTTTGCGTCGCAACTTCCCCCGTCGGGTCTTCCCCCACCTCCGTGCACCATGAGGTTGTGGGTCAGTAGTTTGGCGCTGTGTTCTTGAGCTTTCGCCCTCAAACACGCTATCGAGTTGTTCCGGAAGGCCTCCGGATCGTCCGTGTAGGGATTTTGCGTCGGTTGCTGTTGGGCGCCACCGAGGCTCAACTGTTCCTTACTGTCCAGAGTGGCGGCGGTGGTTGGTTGGGTCGATTGGTGACTGGAGGTGGCGCTGGTATCGCTGGTGTCGGTCCTCATCGAAGTGGTTTCCTCGTGGTCGCTGGAGGTGTTGTCTCCGGACTCTTTGAGGTGCTCCGCGGCCTCCAGGGATTTGCGGTGCATACCTGCAAAAAGATATTCTGCATTTCGCATGACAAGAATCGGGCCTACGCAACTGGGTGTGTCCCGAGGTTGTCATCGATAGGGTTGTCAAATATTTTAGACAACAATCAAGAAAACAGAATGAGATTTTTAAATTGTATTGCTGCAACCTGTGGAGGTTTCTTTGAAAAATTAACGAGCCTGCATGGAGAGGACATTAAGCGCAAAGACGGAAAGTTAAATAGAGTAAAGTTCGTTCATTCATAAATGAAAAATACCACACCATATATGAGGTGTGTTCAAAAAGTAAGGCGAGTTTTAAGTTTTATCAAACTCCATGAATTGTTTTCCCACAATTCCGAACGTTTTCTTCGTATTGTTTCTCGCAAACGGCGCATAAATTCAACTCTACCTAGTGGCAACAGCTTTTGATGTACTACGCCACCATAGTTAAAGAAAACAGTAAGCAAAACATTGACATTTGATCGAACTTGACGTAGCTTTTTGACGACTCTGAGTTCTTCCATTGGGACGACCAGTTAGGACATTTTTTTTGCTCAAAGTAGATTCACCATATGCCGTTGTAAACATTTCAAGTGTTTTGCGCACAAAACACGTCTAACGCTTCCGTCTAACAAAAAAGTAACCCCAAAACCTGGCTGAAACTGTGAACATATGTTAGGGACTTGTGTACCAACATAAAGAAAAAAAAACGTAGCCTGCAAAATTATAAAAGTCGCCTTACTTTTTGAATACACCTCGTATATATATATGCATATCTAGAATGTATTTTTTTATGTCATTGGTATAAGCAATATATTTATTAATTATTGGAAAAACTCTTAATTTTTTGGTTATATTATTAATAAAAATTTGAAGGATTTCAAAATAAATTGAAAATAAAAATTTAAATGTTTTATGTTTTAATGAAATATATTTTTCATTTGTCGCGATTCTTTGAGCCACCCTGTATAATTTAAAATATTTTCAAATTGTGTATCCTAGCAACTTTCTACGTTGACTACATTGCCGGTTCTACCAGAAATCAGTGGTAACATTGACATTTCAAATCGAATTTTCGGAATCTATATAAAAATTTAAACAACTTCCACTAAATGTTCATACACATATCTGCCATCTTGTTTGCCAAAAAAATTAAATAGATCTTAAAAAAAAAAACTCGCTTCGATAGTGTGTGATATTTACACGTTAAAATGAAATAATTATTCAATCAACACTTTCACAGGTGATGAATGCGCTTAAGCGGCAAAAATTCCTTAAAAAATTCAAATCTCTAAATTCTAATCCCGATATAGTAATTCCAAAACCACTAACTATTTGCAAAAATTCACAACAAACAATACGTTTCCTTCAGCATGGAAAGAAGCAAGGCAGTTTTTGAAAAAGGTGATGTTACTGATATTAAAAACTACCGACTCATATCACTGCTTGACCTGCAAAAAGATTTAAATTTTAATTTGAAAGCATAAACATATACTGTTGTGCAGCACAAAATATCCAGAAGGTAACGTCTTTTTTTTTTAATAAAAAATTTACACCCACAAATCTTTGTGAAAAATCAAGTCAATGAATTGCATTGCAAAAATTATTCTACAATTTTGATTTTCGTAGTGATCCGACTAAATTTTTCAACCCTTATTTGTATATGAGACCACAGCGAGTTCATGTAAGGGGTTATTGATATGATTATGTCACTTCAGGTGTTCCACAGGGTTTCAATCTTGGTCCATTGATTTTTCTTTTGTTTAATAATTATTTGGTTGCTTTGCTTTATAATAGAACAAGTAGAGTATCTAGAATATACGGTATATATATATATATATATATATATATATATATATATATATATATATATATATATATATATATATATATATATATATATATATACAGGGTTTTTCACTTAAAACTCCGCACGCCAATAAGTCCAAAACGAAAAGAAATATTTAATTTATGTAAAAAGTAGTCAAAGTGTGGGGTCAAGTAGATATTTCCTAAAGTTTAAAAAATTCGACGCCTGCAAAGAGCTGGGCGTCGCGACGCGTTGAAAAATTATTCGATTGCAGAGACTTTGGAAATACACGCATACAAAAGTACATATTATTTAAAAACTTTTTTGTTATTTACTTAAACTCATTTACTTTGCCCGTTTTTAAGTTATACCGATTTAAAGTAAACATTTCTTGATTAATAAAAAATGTGATTAACGCTTATTTTTACAAGTATGCCATGAATGTTAGTTACTATGGCAACCATTGTAATCGCAGTTGTTTTAAGTGCAATTACAAAGAATAGATTTCAACTATTTTAGTATGATTTTATTTATTATTTTTTATCGATTTAGTTCTGATAACATGATAAATAAATGAAAAAACAGTAAAATACCTACAAGTTAATAACCAAAATTATTATTGCAATTAACTACATAATAAGACATTTCAAAAATTTTGTTCAAAATTATGTCCATCTGCTCGAACACAACTATCAAAAACTTTTAACAGATGAGCTTGGGTCACTTGTAGGAGAGTCCTTCTTGTGATAGCGGCACACGCTGCACTAATTTTGTTAATGAGATCAGCCATATCTTCGATAGGTTCTTCATAGATAACGTTTTTTAGGTAGCCCCAAAGAAAATAATCTGTTGGTGTAATGTCCGGGGACCTCGCCGGCCACCTTACCGGTCCATTAGTACCAAACCATCTATTGGGATATTCTCGGTTCAAATACCTCGTTACTATTTGGGCATGGTTGCCATAATAACTAACATTCATGGCATACTTGTAAAAATAAGCGTTAATCACATTTTTTATTAATCAAGAAATGTTTACTTTAAATCGGTATACCTTAGAAACGGGTAAAGTAAATAAGTTTGAGTAAATAACAAAAAAGTTTTTAAATAATATGTACTTTTGTATGCGCGTATTTCCAAAGTCTCTGCAATCGAATAATTTTTCGACGCGTCGCGACGCCCAGCTCTTTGCAGGCGTCGAATTTTTTAAACTTTAGGAAATATCTACTTGACCCCACACTTTGACTACTTTTTACATAAATTAAATATTTCTTTTCGTTTTGGACTTATTGGCGTGCGGAGTTTTAAGTGAAAAACCCTGTATATATATATATATATATATATATATATATATATATATATATATATATATATATATATATATATATATATATATATATATATATATATATATATATATATATATACATATATATATATATATATATATATATATACATATATATATATATATATATATATATATATATATATATATATATATATATATATATATATATATATATATATATATATATATATATATATATATATATATATATATATATATATATATATATATATATATATATATGTTATATCCGGAAATCCTATTGTCCACATGGGTTAAATGCCACCGACCTGCAAGAGTGCAACGATTGCGAAAACGTCGTGTCAACGATATGTCGCAACATCCGCAGCCGTCGACCCCGTCAACGTCAGCATAAATTTATTATAAATACGAATTTCTATTGTAAAACATGGTCTGATAACATTCTCTCATCACGAGGTTATTATGTCCATTTTTAGTTTGATTTTAACGGTCTAATAACATTCTCTCGTCACGAGGTTATTACGTCCAATTTCATTTTGATTTTTATTTTAATTTAAAGTTAATAAATATATTTTTTTAAAAAGTTATTTTTGAAAAGTGAAATATAAAAATTGGCGCAGTCGGTAGGATCCGTTCACGTTGCTAGAACACGAGTATTCTAACTAGTGACGGCGGATTCCAATCCCTTAGACGGAAAGAAGAACCATCGCAGCCCAGTCGTGCCGGAACAAGGAACCTTCCATCACCGTTTCGAGAGGCAAGAATTCGGAGTAGGATCTGTTCACGTTGCTAGAACACGAGTATTCTAACTAGTGGCGGCAGATTCCGACCCCTAAATCTAGGGAACAACGAAGACAGCCCATCGTACCGGAACAAGGATAAACCCATCAACCGTCTCGAAAGGCAGCAATGAAAATATTACTGTAAGTGTTAAGAATCGTTACGAATAATTTTATTTTTAATTTGCAACATTGTTGAATTTATTACGTTCGATTACCCAAGGTTGAAAATTACCTATTTATTGAATTTTCCAACGTAGAATCGTTGCGCGATAATCATTTTGATTTAATTTTAGTCTGCAAGTTTAACTTAGCAATATTTAAAACAAAAATTGTGTTTGAACTCTTATAAATTTATTTGCTTTTTCTTAAAACCTAAAATAATGGCAACTCAATCAGACGAACCTAGTACAATGCTGGAAGTTGAACCATATAAACTTTCGGAAATTTTCTGTATCGTACCTGAATTTGAGGGTGACCAAATCTTTTTAGGAAATTTTATAAACGCGTGTGATTGTGCTTATAATATGGCAACAACGCAACAAAAAATTCTTTTAGTTATTCACATTAAAAATAAGCTCCGCGGTAAAGCAGCTCAATTAATTAATTCTAGGAATCCTGATTCATATCTAGAAATAAAGAAACTATTAACTCTACACTTTGGTGATTCTAGAGATTTACCTTCCCTAATTCATGACCTTCAACGTCTTAAACAATTGCCCAATGAATCAGCATTAACATTTTTCAATCGTCTTCAAGTCCTAAATGCGAAAATGCATTCATGTGTTCAAAAATCTACCACATTGGGATCCAAAGAGCAAAAGGATGCTCAGATATCTTTAATTGAGACTATGACCCTTAATACACTTCTTACAGGTTTAGAACCTAGATTAGGTCAACTCATTCGTGCTAGTAATCCCACTTCACTTTTAGAAGCCCAAGCAAGGATTCGTCGAGAACTCCAACTCTCATATTTTGAAAATCAAAAATCTGTCAAATTAAATTCTCCTAAATCGCATTCTGCGAATATTCGAACCCCTCTTCAGCAACCCAAATGCACTTTGTGTAATAAAATTGGCCATACTTCAAATCAATGTAGAA